AGACTTCTATTAGGATTTTGCTGTGCAATGCATACACACACATTATTAGAAATATATCCTTACCTTGGTGTTTCCCAAAAAATCTCTATATTCTCTTAATATTTTTTGGTTTCTAAACAGCCCTGTAAGAAATATAAAATAAATTTAGGTCATACATATTCTTACCAGTTTAAATTAACAGAATTATTCACTGTAAGATGTACAACAATATGTAGAGTATCATCCCATCCATCCCATTTACGTTTAAGTGAAAAAAATATGTGCATAAAAATTTGAAAACGCATTGGAAATATTCTGGAAGGATATACACAAAACTGTCAACAATGGTTCTCTCCAGGAGGGAAAATGAAAGAAGACTTTTTATTCTTTGTATTTTTATGTTCTTTTTAAAATCAGAAGTATGCATGATTTTTGTCACTAATAAATGTGCATACATAATTTAAAAACTTACCTAAAACATATTTTATATTATCCTAAATCTAAATTCTATAAAGGTGGCTTTGTCACTAATCCACTAGACTGTTAAGTTCCCTAAGAGTATTATTTGCATCTAAATCTCAAGCACCAAGCACAGCTTCTTGTTCATAATAGGTGTTTGATAAATCCCTGCTGAATGAATAAATTAATGTGGTAGCTGAATTAATAGATCTTTCTGTAACACGGCTCACAGCAATTCTGTCCCCTGGTAGGCAGGACACAGTGGTCTTGAATGAGCAGGAACGGACCTCAGGAAGGTGCAGGTCCTGCGAGCGGGGCTACCACAACATAAACTTGAATTCTATGGAGGCGAATTGGCCTGATGCTACAAAGACAGGTGAAGTGAGGTTCCATTTCAGGCATTAGGGAATCAAAATGCTTTTTTTGCACTTTTACTGTGTTTTTCGGCCAACTCTACGGGACAGGATCTTAAAGAGCCCTTCTTAAGTTCCACATGGACAACAGAGCAAAGGGGTGAGCTTCCAACTGTAAAGTGTTGTTGGGCCAGACCTTGAAATACAGTGAAACCAAATGCCCCAAATTCTGTATTGACCTGCCTTCCGGGTTAGGAGATGCAACTATGCAGGAGCAAGCCTCGTCCATATGGCTTCAACTTGTACTTAGATTTGTAAGCTATAAACTCTGATCATGGTTCTAAATGTCTGAGTTCTACTGTTTACTGGTAATGGAGTGTGTGTTTTATTATAATAAGAAAATGTTGTACCCTTTGGTTGAACAGAGTAAAAACCCAATGAAATTAATACAGCAACAGCAT